CCCCCCCCCCCCGTTTTTTTCCCTGCCAGTCTCGCTCCCGATCCTTCACTCCTCCTTGGCCAGATTAATCGGCTCAAGATTAAAGGCAGACAAGAAGCTCAAGCGAGACACCACCACCAACCACCGGTGGCTTCTCTGCGGGGCTTGAACACGCCAGAGCTGGCGTTCAGCCACACCAAAACGTGACGTGGCCGGCGAGCTGCAACGGTCGAACGCTGCAGGAGGGGGAAGATAACAGCCAGCAGGGCATCAGGGACTCGCTGCTGAACAAAAGGGGAAGGCAAAAACTTGGAGGAATTGATTTAAAGGGAGCTCCTTCTGCTCTTCATTCCACTGCTACATCTCCTCCCGTACTTTCAAACCACGGCACGCTTAAAATGGTGCCGGTCTCAGCTTTAAACGGTGGCTTTATAAAATGTTGCATCACATCTTGCGGCTTTCTGGTCCATCAGAGCTTTTCCTGAAGCAGGGCTTTATCTGCGGCTCTCGCCAGCGCCCAGACCGCGCTCGGGGACAGCTCTTCTGCGCGGGCACGAGGGATCGCATGCAGAAGGCTGGGGAACTTAACCAGCTGCCCGCAGGATGCTTTGGGACTGAAGCCATAAAAAATCCCACATAATCTCCGTCTGGCACTTGGAAGCTCTGAAAAAAATGCAATTTAAGAGCCGTGCCTTTATATTTTTGACCCCTCGCTAAGCCCAAGTGCAATGATGGCTGCAGTGGGAGAGCCTTGCCTGGAAAACAAAACTTTACTTTTGGGATGGATGTGCTCATGGGTGGGGATTAATGGGTTTTATAGCTTCCTGGTATTGTGGCATGTTCAATTTTTTTTTTTTTTTTGCTTTTTTGCATCCTGCCTCATTTGAGCAGGCCTTGGCTTGCTAACAACCCCTTCCTGCAGTTTCTATTAATAGCCCTTGGTTCCAGTTTTCCCCTGTAAAGGTTTTTTTTTTCAGCTGGTTTAATTATGTGTGATCTAAATCATGCATTAAATTTTTCTTGGTCTTCAGCTAATGAGCACCACTACCAAGGAAAGAGAAAAACTATTTGATATGGACAATATAAACGTCAATTAGGGTCAGATGTTACCAAAATTGTGTATGTAATAAAAGCATGTACGCAGGGTTCCAGTTGCTGTTATAAACTGCAGCTCTACGCATTATTTCCTGCTCCCACTAGCATTAAATGTGCCCATTGTTTAAGAGGAGTTTATAAGGTGAAAATCCTTAACATTTAAGCTTAACTGTTAGCAGACAGATTTCCCCTACCCAAAACTTTAAATAGTGGCTTGATCACTATAAACACATCTGCCTTTTTAATACTACTTAATCTTCGCAGCCACGGCATGCGATGAAATCTGGCGAATTTATGGAGTCGTACATTCTGTCACAAGCCAGTTTACTGAGAGGCTGTAATTAAATTCAGCCCCGGTAATTGCACAGCTCCCTGCTTAGAAGTCTGGGGTTGCTGCTAGTCTATAGCTGCAGTTGGATTCTCCCAGCACTGGTGGGAACTGGGAGGAATGCTACGAGAAAGTGGGTGGAATAAATTCAATATACATGAACTGGAAGTCAGGCCCTTGTCTGACCCAAGAAGCTTCATGGAGGATTATCCCATGATCAGAGACCTTATTTCATCCAGAGACTTGCAACTCTCAGCTAGGAAAACACCACAATCCTTTCTACTACGTATCATCACGAGCCCCTCCTGTGTCAAGAAATGGAGTTAACAAAAGCTGCCACGACCAGTCACAAAGTTGTGCAAAATTCAAGCATCCCGGCCACACGATTTCTCCTTGAAGCACTGAAACACACCTGCCAGCTCGCCGGCTCTGCATCAGTTTAGG